TTGCTACTTTGAAGAGTCCAGACTGTGCCTCTGTTATTTCTTGCCTTTGAAAAGGGCAACAGTGACAAGGAATAAATGACAACAAGACTAAACAGCGCTGGTCAAAATGTCATCTTTAATGTCACCGTTGACACAATAGCGAGCATGCTTTGATTAGAGGTGGATACAAATATTTTCCCTCTGCTACAATCTTTACCTTTTGTGACATTCACCCTCCATGTGTAATTAGAGTGGATACAGTTTGCGTCTCTTTTAGGGAGAGAAGAAAGTTGTATTTTATCCATCACTGCAGTCAACAACAGAGAAGGTTTATGTTTGCTTGTGTTTTGGTAGTAAAAGTAAAACTGTGTCACATTGTGGGACTAATATGGTGAGAAATACATGCAGTGCAGAAGGAATATTTTTCAGTGTGAACGGTTTCATCAAGGCCAGATTACTGGCATGATCCCGAAGTACAGTTTTCCTCAGAGTCTGCCATTTTGCTCTTGCAGTGCCAATGCAAACAGTGCGTATAAAAGCACAGCAGATTCAGTAATACTCACATTTTACGGCATTAATATTTCTCTTATTTGTTTTATAAAATACACCGACTAGGTTCAAGAAAATCCTCATGGAGAGAGAATTCTTTCATGCATTCACAACCTTCCTACGACAAGGACCACGATGGAAATAAGTCCTGTGACTTTCTTGTGTTAAAAAGCACTTTTGTTTTCTGACACATGCACCACACGTGGTAATTCACATGCAATTTTGTCGTCTGAGAAAGTCATTTTTCGGAGACAGGGCTGGTAGGCCTGATGTTTCTAGGCAAAGTAAAGCTTCATTTTAACACCACCAGCCAAGTTAAGGACATATAGACTCCCCTTAAACACATCAAACAAACTGCAAAGGGAAAGTTTGGAGGTGCATACCCTTTACCTTGACAAAAAGAAATACCAGGGGAGCTGAGGAATGATGTATAATGCTGTCTTCCAATCCTGTAATCACCATAAACACATCTATACAAAGAACATTTCCAATGTAGTCACACTGCTCGGGGAGTATACAAGTTGTTCATGCTTTTGCAGAAATAGCAGGGGATGGATGTGCGTGTGTGGGACCAACCGAAGGAACCACAGTTAGTGTGCTTGCCGAACTGAGTGGATAAACAGAGGATTCATGAGGACATGCCCCGCCACAATAATTACTTCTTCACAGAGCGCTCTGTGCCGAAAGAAAACAGTTCTGTTTTCGTTTAAGTCCCAAAATGAACATCCTTCTCATACATCAAACTATGGCGCTGGCATACTCCACTGTGTGCTCTTTACTTTTCACCTTCTATTTTGTAGAATCTCCCTCCCTGCGATGACTCAGTCATTCATTGTTTACCAGCAAGAGAGTATATATATATATATATATATATATATATATATATATATATATATATATTCACAAACAGGAGGTCCGGTTGGGTTGGAGAGCTTTAGAGGAATCAAAGAACCTCCTCTGGGCCGTTGACGGATATATCAAAGGTCGTAAAGTATTCAGATGCCGTTCATGTGATAACCTCTTGGACAAACACAAGTCTGTAAAGCACATACTGTTCTTTATGTACCGAGGCACTGCTGTACAAAAGCTTCTTTGCTCAACTGTCACAACTGACCATATATAGAGCTCTTCACAGCTTACAGCAGAATTTGCTGTGTGCACAGACAGTTGGAGTTAAAAGGTTCTCCATATGAAATTGAGAGCATTCATGCAGCAGAAAACAACTTTTTTCAATGTGATGATATAGTGGAATAATGTCTACCTGAGCAGAGAATGAGGTCACTCCTCCCCTGTGTGTGTTGAAACAAGGCATTACGTGCTGGTGGTAACAAAACCACTTAGTTAGGTTTAGTAAAAACATCAGGGTTGGGCTTGAAATAGTGAACCAAGTAAAATACGTAACGGGACACGAACACGTTTTGAATACCGGTCTCCTGGTTGAAAGTTAGTTTGACCCATCCACCCACCATAAGTAGTCTTTCTCACTGTTCATATGATGTCACTAGCTCTCAGCGTTGCATATTCACATGGATGCGTTGAATTTGTGTGTCCACCATGACAAAAGAATCCAAATCTGGATGAATCCAAGAATCCAAATTGACTTTCCCTTGGCAGTGTTTCCTTCCAGTGTCACAGAATTTTAACTCATTGAGTGCTTCCACAATGTGATGCGCTGTTGAGTTGTCATTACATCTGAGCGTGCCCCGCTGGCTCGCCAATGGCTGCCGCCGATGCCGTCGCAGACACTATTAGCACCGTTAGCACCGTTAACACCTAGCTTAGCCGTCACCATGTTGAGAAGACGCAATCCCTCAAATAGATATACTCTGAAATTAAAATGTAGCACCTTCAAGCCAGCTTAAAGTCACTTCTGTTGTAACTAAAGTGAGGCTTATTTTTTAAAATTTTAGGTAAATGAGAATATTTTTCATATCATATTGTTGTTGGCTCAATTCATTGAAAAAAAAAATCTGTTTCTATTACTGGAAGCACATTCACACACAGTGTTTGCTACTGAGCCTTGTATGCAGGTCTGAACTCGTTCTGCCAACTCTTTTCAACATGGTTTGGGATTTCCCCTTTTTTAATATAACTATGCTATGAATTGTGGGTATGTCTGCTAAGCAAAGACTGCTGGTTTGAAGGAAGGAGCCCTCAAGCACTTGCTGGTTTTACAGTGTGGTAAACCTAATCAGAGCGTGTCAAAGCCTGTGTGTCAATGGAATGGGATTGGACCAGTCACTCATTCACTCACTGTGATGACATGAGTTGACACTGGTCTGTGTGAAGCTGACGGGATGATTCAGAGATGGGTTCTCTCTGGCTTTGGCCCAAACACTGTCCCAATTGCATTCCTCAGGGGCAAACTGTCCAATATTATCTCTGCTCACTCCGATAGAGGCCCCTCAAGCCACAAAGGACTTGCTGTGTTGGCCTTTCCTCAGCACATTTTCTTTAGAGGAGAGGCCGACTTCAGAAGTGCCTAATTATTCTGACCACAGCAAAGCATGCACCTGCAGACAACAGGTGTTTATGCTCGTCGGCGAGGAACCTTCCATTATTCTGAAGGAAACTTCTTAGACCTTGGTAGTAGCAGACATTTATTGTCTGATGTAATCACATCTCTCTTAAGTTTCCAAAGGAGGATACTTCTGTTGAAGTGCATCAAGTATTGTAATATAATACATGCAAGTACGCAAGCACACTGTACACACCATAGCTCGGTTAGCTTGAATTAATGGTCTCCCTTGGCAGATGGAAATGTATAAGGAGTGTCATGACTAAACCTGTACTGTTGGTCTTCAAAGCAAATGCCACATCACGGAATCTGCAGGTGTGTAATCTAAAATCTTTGCCAGAAAAAAATAAAAAGGGGAAGGAGTGTCTGTGTGGGCTCCAGGTTGAGCTAGGAGGGGACGGGCTCTGCTGTGTAACATTTCTGTGGGGAGGATTGTGGTTGTTTGAGGGGAGATAAGACACCGCGGGATCACAGTGCTGTTAAATGTGTCTGCCAGAGCCAGCAGAGGAGCAGCAGCAACGCAGAGACTCTGCCAACATTCCTGGGGATCAACACCAGCTGAAGGCTCCTAGCTCTCCCCCCTGCTGCAAAAACACCTGATAAGGGAGGCTCACTGTAGTCTCTCGCACCACAAGACCATTTAAGAATAGAAACTCCAAATAAAAGCTGTTTTTTTCTAATAGTTTTGAAAACAATATTTCAAAGCACCTCAAAGTGCATTAATGCTGCTTTTCTATCTGACAAGATCCATCATAGTTGCCCCTTTATTGCCAATTGTATGAGTTGTGTACCTTTCCAGGTAGAAATTCATCATAAATAAGGGATCTTAGTGTGGCCGCCCAGCACTGGAGGTGAGTGTAGAAAAAAAGAGCCATAATGCACTATGGCCCATGTCAGAATGATATAAGTTAAGTTAAGTTTTCAGTATATTGTCATGATATATATATATCATTGGATCATAATAATGGATGCATGAACAGGTTCATCACTTTAATGTCACAGGTGATTTATTTTACTTGTGAATTTCCCCCAGCATCAGTAAAGCCTCATCCTTACCTTTAGTAATGCTTCATCATACACTTGTTAATTATTGGTCATATTTGATATTATTAAATATTCAAGTAAAGTTCAAGTACCTCAAAAGTGTACTTGTAGTTGTGAACGTGCTTACTCGCTTTCTACAAGTGCAGATCCCGTCTAAAGTCAGAGGCGTCATTGTCTTGATGGAGGAGGGTCGTGAGCCTTAAGAGGCTCTATCTGGGGAGTCTTGATTCGCTGCTCTGTGCTGCATGACTGAGTGGAAACTTAATGAATCAGAGGGTGATGGTGATGATGACTCAAGCTAAAGGAAGCATTTGTAAAATTACAAGGACATCTAGTGGTCAAAATCAGAAGTCCCAAATGAAAACGACTCTTGATCTCCTCTCTCACGCATGTTTTGTTTTTTTGACAGGCGCTGAGTGCAGCATGTATTTTGCCATCCAGAATAGATGACAAGGAACCAGTGAGTATTATTAACCTGTATGAGGCTCCCCTCGGCACAGAGACATTACAGTAGCAGAGAGCTGTCTGGTGCACCGATGGATGTAGTGTGTGCAGGCGCCGGCTGGAGGGCATGATGTCTGCATTAGATGACAAGATCCTTTCCACACCTGAGCCAGAACACAAATCAATACCCTTTTAAATTAAAACGTATCGACTAGCAGTCCGTAGAGTAGAAGCCCTCATGGACACTCATGTCCTGCTGCTATGAGAAATCCTGCTCTGATCCACTGTCATAGCAGCTCTTTGAGAAACGTGGACAGTGAAATGATTGTCAGGGTAAATCCTCTGGCCCTCTGATCTCTGGATATAATAAACACTCCTGTTTCTCACTGTTTGTATGTGGTCTCTAGGGTTGCTTTGGCATGTCAGGATGTGTTTGATCTTCAGGTAGCTGCTGCAGAGGGGGAGGAATATTAAAGGTCGAGGAGAGACAGCACCGAGGAACATGGGACAGTGATTGGGCGGATGATGACACGGTAGGAAAGATAAAGTGTAGAGAAACAGGTCAGTGTCCAACAGTGGTGGCATTAATCACTCCAACCATTATCCATATTCAAATGCTTTATGCGCATGTCAGTGAAGGCAACAAGTTCAAATTTAATTACAATCTTTATTCAAGGTCCCAAAGGTATAATAATCCAGTAAACAGCAACACAGGCATTTACAATTCAAGGACAAATAGTTCACTTTTACGATAACAAATTGAAGGTATTTTGCCTCTTGAAGATACATTACACCAGCTGTTGCCTTTTAATTTGGACGGCAGACGACAAACCAAATACTAATTTCAGTAAATATTTCTATATTAGTACCTTAAATAAAATAGGTCAGCAGGCGGTCATGGAACTAAATTGTGATGACATTCTGTAAATTCACAGTCTGATATCCTTTCCCTTTTTTTTATTATGGTCAGCAAAACTAGTCTTTTGTCTAATGCACTTTGCAGGAAATGAATACTATGATAATACAACTGACTTCACTGAACATTTGAAGACAAATACTTTATTTGAATCTTTGAAAATCACAAGAATAAATCAATGTACTCTACTAATACTGACCAGATTGCCTGTTTAAGGGCAACATGAGGACGTCTACTATGCTGAACATAGACATTTGTATTGACTGGAAAAATAGACTGTGCCTTCCTCATCAAGAATCTGGATTTTCGATCTAAAACTGTAAAAATGTTTTATTGTGACCCCAGTATAAATTGTATTATATAATATTAGTTTTCATTTTCTATACTGTATAATGTGAGGTTGCATGTATTTGTGTAAACATCTGGCCAGAATATCTGGTTTTAATAGTCTATGGATTTGAATACAGAGAAAATATTACTGCCACACTGACAATTATGAATATTTCAGTCAATAGATCCATTCATTATTTATATATCATACTCATGTCCTTCAGTCTTTGTTTAGGATAACCTGCAGTATGTTTTTAACAAAATATGTCAGGTAATGTTAATATACCAACGACGAAAGAGGTCAGTAATATAGCCTGTGATATCTTAAAATCTAAAATAAGACATAAAGGCATGTGCTGTTCAGATCTGAAAGGATTCATCACTCAATGCAGAACAATCTCCAGGCATAGATATATGCTTTTAAATATGTTTTTTTGCGTGCTTCATCCCCACAACTCCACAGAGTAACGACAAAGCACTACACAAGCAGCTACTATTAAGTTACATCACTGATAAAATGCTGTCGATGTGAAAATTCCTGTGCTCGGCACTTGCTACAGTGTTTTTCCGTGTTTGTTTTGTGATTCTGTAGCCTTGTCATCAAGGTACAATAAAAGTGCCACATTTAAACTGGCAACAGTCTTTAGCAACTCCTAAAGGCCTGGTTTGTGTATGCTACTAAGCTTTTTTAACATGCAAAGTCAAACTCAACATCATGGAGCATCTTTTTTTCCGGGGGGGTTGAGTAGGAGTTTACCTATAGCCTGCATTTTTCCTAATGCCTAGAACCGCCTCATCTTATTATCGGTTTAATAGTGTAAACTCTAAGCTACATTTGTGACAGTAAGGACCAGTTTCTTGGACTGTAATTAAGCCTAAATTAAATCCTAAATACACTACAGATGACCTCAAAATAGTCCTACATTTAAGTGAGTCTTGTATTCGATTTCCTGAAGGAAGATTAGAGTTCCACCAGGTCTAAAGGGGCTTAAATTAAACCTGTCGTTTGAAAAGTCCGATTCATTCGCCATTAGAGAGACGTGACAAATTTGGACTCATAAATACTTTCTATGCTTCCGTTATCTGTTCTTCGCTCTGGACTGCACTATATCGTGGGAATTTTGTAATCAGTTGCAGCTCTCACGAGGACATCACAGGTGATTTACATTAACCTCGTTAGGTCACTCTCGCCAGAGGACTCACACAGCTGACTGAAACTAAACTCATTAGTGCAGGATTTTCTATTCAAGAAGAAAAATAGTTTTTTAAGACTAGTTTTAGATTTTAACCTAATCCTGATTTAATTCAAAACCTGTCCTTTAGACTTTAGACTTGCTACAATAATATTAGCTTGCTAAGTCACAGCTACTAGAGTCAAATGTAAAGGTTACTCCATTATTAAGCTGTGATCAGAATTTGTGCTTTTCTGAGTTGTTTAGTCATGTTTCAATTGCATAACAATTTCATATGTTCCACAAGTAATCCACAGTGCTCTGATTGTTATTTATTTTTGTAAAAATACTGATATCCTAACCTTTTAGTGACATAGCTTTGGAGGACTGAGAGCTGGTGTTGAATTAAAGCGGTCAGGCAAATGAGAGCTGCTGCAGGCAGCGAGGTCTTGCCTTGCCCCTTATGTATAATTATGCCACTGCACGGGCTCATTGTACTTTTTATTTCTCTTTACCTCGAGAGATTTAGACTCAAACTCAAATTGTGGTCCGTGTATAAACCCTGTGATGAACCTACAATAATTTAAAGTTGGGATAACAAAAGGCCTTGCCGTCTTTCCAGAACTTTCTGAACGCTACATGAGTTCATTAGCTGCAATTAGCCACCATCTGGCCACACACTGCAACACACTCTCTGGGGACAGTACGTCAGGGTGAATTTTCTCCCTTTCAATTATCAGGCATCAGGGTCTCCTGGTGTATCCCCATAACCATGAATGGTTCTGAATATAACTTCTGCTCCCTCAGGAAAATAAGAGTGGTTAATAATTTCACCGATTATTCATAAATTTGAACTCCATAAATGAACGAAAAATGTAAAATCTGTTTTATTTGTTTGGTTGGACTTTGTTCATGTTTACACAATAGTTTAAGTTTCAAAAACTAATTAAATATCTTCTTGGTAATAACTTTAATTCCTGCTGGCGACTCTAAAAAAACATTTAAGTCAATATTATTCGTTTTTTGGGAGAGAACTTGAGTCTGCTTCACAGCGGTGTTAAAATGACACGTTGTGGTTTTATGGAGGTTATGTGCGAGACTATTTCTTGACTGGGCTAATGGGTCACTTGTAGTCCGTGGGCTAGCACAAAAAACAAACTCAACTCGATTTTGCCACCCGGAGTTTAAAAAACAACAACTATAAGTCTAGGGCCAATCAGGGGGTCAATTAAAAATCGGAAATTTACCCCAAAAAACCAAGGATTCTTTCAGAAATTTAAGTGGCAAATTTACAAAAAAAATGAACAATATATGATATTGTGGCTGACACTAATGACATCCATCCATCCAGAATATATTTTCTCGCAAATTTGTGCATTCTCTCGTAAATTAGCTATTTTCATCTCAGAGAATTTTGCAATTATTATTTTACCAACAATAGCCCAAATATGCCGTATTATAACTGAATAATTCAAGGAGTCTTGTGATCATTAAGTAGCGACTTCAATAAGTCACTGTCCCCAGCCAAGAATTAGCCTCCACCTGAAACTACAATGTGTCAATATTACAATTTATTTGTGTTCATTAGTGAGCTTTAGAGGTACTGGTAGGTGCATTTTTGTTACTGTTAGACAGAGCCAGGTAAACTGTGCTAAGCTAAGCTAATCAGCAGCTGGAGGTAGCTTACCATTTACTCTACAGACATGAGAGTGGTATCAATCTTCTCATAATGACACCCAAGCACGCTTAGTAATTCGTGGTGCGTCCTGTAAGGCTGTACAATTAAGTTTCAGTCGCTAACATTTGGATTTGTAGCTCTCGACAACACAGATTGAGATTAAATGAAGCCGTACAAAAGTCAAATACTTCCTCGATGGGACATGAGTTCTCTAAATGAACCTGTTCATTGTTCAACACATTTTTCCTCATTTATGTATGACAGACACAAATTTGTTTCTGTCAATGTGCTGACTTTGTAAAACCTTCAATTAGTGCAGTGTTGCCAGTAAAACTGTCTCATATATTTCTGCAGAGATGTTGGCTTACTGGTGTCAGACAGCAAGAAGGAACTGAGTTAAAAGAACTCAACAAGGTTTTTGACCTCTTCAATGACCCATCGTGAGCTTTGTGAAGAGCAATCTGAAAAGTGGAATGAACCCGAGCTGTGGCGTGTGCCTCAGGGGAGCGTTAGGTCTCCCTGCTGCTGAGCTGTCTGACCTGCCTTAAAACACCAAGACTCAGAAAGTACAATCCCCCAAAAGCTATATATGTCTTCATGAGTTCCTTCACGACATAGGTATTTTTATTCATAAGCGTTTGTTAGTAAGCCACTGTCTGAGGGACATCAGTGTGGGTTCAAGTTTTTACATCCTAAATAGGCTTTCATGCAATCTATCTCCTCAGTGTCCAAGGGGAAGGAAAAGTATCAATACTGGTTACTCCCCTGCAACTAATGAGCATATCTGAGGTATAGATTTAGACTCTGACTGAATACTATTGGATACATTAGCTACTTCCATAAAATAGTTCTGAAATGTTAAATCTATCATATCAAAGATCATACAACAAAGATAACAATTACCTCATTACAAAAAATATAGACTGGTAACATTTAGGATCAACTATCCATTCAATTTTAAAATATAGTTTGACTGAGACGGCACAGGGTTGCACAGTGACAGGATGTCCATCTCCCAGCTAGTAAACAGCTATAAGCTTCACTGTTCTCCTTTTTTTCTCTTTTCATTTTGGTATAATTACTGAACAAACGATAACATTGTTGGAAATTCAAATATTGTAAACATCGTACCAGTACAAAAGCACATATCGCAAGACGTGGTCAGAAAACACCAACACAGGCAGCACGGACAGCTTTTACTCCTCCTCCATTGACTTCTCAATCTCCTTCAGCCTGCGGACAAACTCCTGAGCCTCCTTGTCTCCAATGCGAGCGTCCAGCATCCTCATGATTGGCTTTTCTGGAGGGGAGAGCAAACAGATGAGACTAGTTCCGACACCTGACACAAATATCTCTAGAATGGCTTTTCATGTTGGAGAGGTAATTGGAAAACCCAGAGCTACACCCTCTGGGCTCCCAAGAACCAATATTATGTTTGTGTAAAACAAAGATCTTGATACAGCCTGGAGCTATATGTACCGCTGGGTTTACTGCGAGACAGGTGGAGAATGACAGGCTGGACGCTCTTGCCGGCAGCTGAGGCGTTCGGTCTCCCTGGCCAGCAGAAGTCGCTGAGAGGAGCCACGGCTTCACCGGCGAAGTCGTTGGTGGAAAGCCAGTCATAGTCCATCACAGTGAAGGTCAAACAGGCATACCTGTGTCTGTACTGTTCTGGACTGACGTGGCTGGAAGACACAGGAACAGATCAGGGTTTGCACAAACAGGAAGAAGAAGAAGAGAGGTCAACAGTACTCACAAGTGAAAGAGCTCGTCGAATACTGGGTGCAGGGTTTTAAGTTTCACTTGCGTGCGTTGACTCTTGGCCATAGGGAACAGGTGGTGAGGACAGAGCTCCACTATGACAAATGGGTCACTCAGACCTGAGAAAGAGCAGACAAAGTGAGTGCAAACTCAACTTCTATACAACAACCTGTATTTTATTGTGACACTTTTACCGTTAGCATCCAGTGCGATGATATCTGCAGCGTGCAGAATCTCCACCGTCAGTCTCTGCTCTGGAGCATCATAGTAGCACTTCACACTGATCCGACCAAAGCGAGTATGTTTCAGTGTTTTCTGAAATTATGTTATAATATGTAAAAGCACAACTCATTTTGAAGTTTCCTCCAGCAGAAACAAGGTGAAGGAAATATTGAAAGCATGTATCAGGTTACAGAACCTGACAGCATCTTGTTTTTCAAGAACCCAGGGGAAGGCAGATTTTCAATCAGAGGTAAAGACAGACAGAGACAAAGGGTTGTGCTCTCCAATCAATACGGCTCGGTCCACCTTAGGGCTAAAATGAAACTGCCAGTAAGTGGAAACACACCTGTTGGGAAATCTTCTCCAGATAGTACTGTTCAATCAGCTCAAAGGAGGGACATTTATTCAGCCTGAGCTCCTCATCCAGGACCTAAAACAACACGGCCAGAAAAGCAAAAAGATAAATAACACCTTGGGTAGGAGGATATAAATCCTAAAAAAATTACAAGAACTCCTACCTTGTAGTCTTCACTCTTCATGTCTTCCAGGGAAAGACCCTCTCCCTTGACATGCAAGAACTGCAACAGGGTCTAAAGCATTCAAGTGAAAAGATAAATATATATAACTTGGAGCTGAGTCTTCACATTCATCCCTCTCATTTTGATAGAATGAAGTCTCAGCATAGTAGGGAGACAAGTTGTTCACAGAAACAGCATGAAACCTCTGACAGGCAAACACGATATCTGTCTGCCAAACTCCAAACTCAGCCCTGTCGTGCAGCATGCCATGACTTTTCATGCAAATCTGTCACGTCCACTGCCAGCTGGTTAAATTGGCGTTAGAATATACAATAGCTCCCACATCATCATTTATGAGGGACCACGCTTTGGTGCTGAACTACTACCTGGAGACTTGATAAATATGTAATATATGCTAATGATGGCACGGCGGCAATCTTAGAGAGCTAATTAAAAGGATGCTGGTATCAGCAGTGATCATTATCTGTACAGAGTTGACATGTCTTTCTAAGCAGTGTACTCCTCTTAGTCAAACTATGCCAGACTGGATATAGCTAAACAAATAGTATTGTGTGGTGAAATGCAGTAGCCTAACCACTGACCTCCACTGTGTACTGGAAGCGGTTGTAGAACTCCACCTGAACGCCCCTGTTTTCTGCGACCGCATCCAGGATCATCCGCAGGAGCAGCTCCCACATGCTTTGGAGAACTCTACGAGGCAGCAGACACAATGAGACACCCACGCGTTTGTGTTTACCAGCTCTTTCAATAACACACCAGTACCCTCACTTAGCCTCGTGTGTGTTTTCACAGATAATAGCTTGATAATGATAAGTGGTAACACTGAGGGGTATTATTGTTATGCCAAGGCTTACAGTACACAATAGCACAGGAGTCCCATGCTAAATTGGTGTACATTTCATGCTTGGTCATCAAATCATGTCTCAATCTTAAAGCCTGGGTAGGCAGTATATTTTTGGCCGACACTGGGCAAAAATTCCATAAAAAACTTTGAGCATATTGTAATTCAAGTGAGAGAAAACTAGACTTCTGCACCTCCTCTTGGCTCTGTTTTCAGGTTCCAGAACATCTATCCCATGACGGGAGACGTGCACGTCTCTCTGATGAAAGCTTCATGTTTGAAATGAATGACTAGTACTTGTACAGTTAACTGTATAAAACGTTTACATGCCTGTGCTCCTCTGGTGGGAGGGGCTTAGGACAGGGAGGGAGGGGCTGCAGGATGAGGGCTGTAATTTCGAATTCTGGCATTTTTTTGTCTTTTCTGGAAAACTGCCGTATACCCTGGGGTACCACTTGAATTGCAGTATGCTGAAAGATTAGGAAGGACTTTTTGTACAATAATGCTAAAAATAAACTACCAACCCTAGCTTTGATAATAAAAAAAATATACTACCACTGGGAGTTGCCATGGTGGCTTTGATGGTTTGTTTGCAAGACTTGCTGGGTATATACCTGCTTTAAATAGCTACATGTGCTGTGACTTTATGTTGTGAATTCTGTCTTGTTTGTGCTTCATAATTATGTATGTAGTCTTTTATCATTAGCTGCACAGGCTCACCAGATGGAAATGAGCAATTGATACGGATGTGGCACAATTATAACACAGAATAGTTATTGAAATTAATTTGCATTGTCCCTGTCAAACAGAAAATTAAGTTTATAGCGAGGAGAGAGGAGAAGAAAATAATTACGTCATCAGATTCTCCTTCACAAGGTTTTCAGTGAGGATCACCATAGTGTCTTGTAAGTACTTCATAAGGGGCGACACAGCCTAGAAGAATGGCACATGAACATACATTACACACGTACAAACACCACTGATACGTGAAGGAATGCAGCAGAGAACCACCTCAAGGCCTTACGTCGTCATTGTTGATGGAGTCTGGAGACAAGCTGATGTGCTGGATGTACCTCCGCAGCTCTGGCAGCATCTGCACAGATATATTCTCTCATACATGTGCATGCACGTACAGATACAAAAAGGAGTCTCATACTATCAAGTAGTACTGATCGGCAGGTATTCATGCTTTGGGCACAGCACCTTGTCGGTGAGCAGCGTGATGAGATGCTTGGCTTCTCTCTGCAGGTCCAGGTCCATGTTGAACAGCTGCCCATTGAGAGCCTTGTAAACCTGCTCCTTCCCCTCCACCCCGCAAGACTCCTCCATGGCCCGCTCCACACCTTGCCAGTCCAGGTCACGGGGCAGGTGACCCAGGAAGACACGCACGTGCTCTGTGTTGTTCAGGGCGATGCAGAGCTAGCAGAGAGCGAGGAGGTGCAGAAGAGGAGAAACAGAGGGTGGAGAAGTGGAGAAACAAAGGAGGAAAAAAAAGCAGGGCTACAGAGAAGTGGAGGGACGGGGTGCGAGTGTAAATGATTGACGACGACAAGAGGCAACTGTGGGTTTTTTTGTGTGTAAACATATCTGATCTGCTGCTGAGCCTTTTGTGTTGCCAGGGGGAACACACATTTACTTCCCACGTCATTGCATACCCCCCCAGTTCTGTCTTGCTACAGGCGTTACCTGCACTGTGAAGCTCTTGTGGTCTCGACCCAGCTGGTTTCTCTCAATCTTTCGTGTTATCATCTCAGAGTAGCAGACAGCCTCGCTGCAGAAATTCTGTGACAGAAAGAAAAAGGTACCTGTTCTGTTATAACGATGACATCTACGGTTTCCTTTTTGATTTTTACTGGTTAAATCTTTTATCAGTCCTGTTGTGTATGGATGCGAGTCTGCTCAGTGTCTTGTTTTTCTATGTGCAGGATGCGCAAAAGTGTGGCAACACTGAAAGCAGCACTCACGTCTGTCAAACGAGTGACAAAGATGAAGGCCCCCGCAGAGTCTGGCCAGGCCAGCTGGAGCCAGATCTCCCGTACCTGGCTGAAGCACATTACCACCTCCACTGCAGAGGAGCTGTGTTGGGCCTGCTGCACAGGCTCGAGCTGCTCACAAAACACATGGAAACAACATGTGACATTCATAGCGTGTGAATAAAACAGGTCACATGTCTTTCAGGACTATGTCTAATGTAATTGCTTTTCTTAAAAGTTCAGCGATATTTTAATTCAGCCCGTTACCTGTTGAATCACCTCTATCAGCAGCAGTTAATAAATCCTTTACAAAACACTGTATACTTGTTATAAGCCAATAAATGAATATATTTATAACTGCTTATCTATATATTCTAAAAAAATATGTTGGTATTTCACAAAGAATTTTACATTCTGCCTAAAAGTATTTGAATGTGCATATGGTGGTTGATGCATTATTAATTCATGCTTTATTACACGCTATATAACTGCAGTAAACACTTAATGAATATCTTGTATCTATAATAGATATATTTATAGACAGTCAATCCTTTTTAAAAAGCAGCCATTTTGAGATGTAGCAGGGTAAACGAAGGCGTAATTGATCAAATTAATTATGGTCCCATTCTAATTTGTGTGTCACAAACATTCCAGTGAGCCAACATGCACAATAGCTAGACCTGGAACTGGGCCATGATTAATGTTATTAATTACACCTGTGTTTACACAGCGATGACAAGTTAAAAGTACTCTCATATTTGCTACTGACTACATATCTTTTAATGGCAGAGGCCTCTCACCTTGTCTGTTTCCACTGCTTTACGAATTCTGTCACAGGATCTGTCATGAACGATCTGCAGCCACTTATGAATCGATGACTTGAACCAGTTATGAAAGCCTGTCAAGGCCAACATTTTCGCGTCCCTGTTAGAGAAGAACACAAGTCCTTTTCAATAAATTCAAAGCAGAAGGAAAGGTTGAACTCTGAAATGAACAAATAACCACCCGTCAGAGCCTTTTATGCTGCTGTATGAAATATCATGAGAGTTGAACTGATAACCAACTTGAGAGGAAGAAACTCTCGAAAGCCTTTGAGGATGTTCAAGGACATGAAGAGTTCAAAGATGGTCTCTCCCATTGTCTGCGTCAGTCTGGAGCTCTCCTGCTCCAGAGTCCCACAAACGCGCTCCATTGCTACATTTACATCATCGGCTACCTGAAGGATTTAATAATTTGACTCAGAATTTGTTCAAAAACTCTGAATGATTCACACAAGGCTTTAAAAGACTTGTTTACAAGGACTTTTCTCATCATTTTTTGATTTACCTGTTTCTCCAACTGCCTGTATGATGTGCTGAAGAAATCTACTTTCACTGCACTGTACGAACAAACAAACAAAGGATGAAATGGCTTCAGTTGGTAATCCAAATCAATGTTTCTGTGCCAGGTAATGTTTACACATTGTTTTGTTTTTGCACAGCATTGGTATTCACCTGTAGAAGAGTTTGTTGTAAATGTGTTGGGCTCTCTGTACGTCTGCACACACGGAATCAACCACCTGAACCAGCTTCTTCAGCTGCTCCTCCAGAGTCTGCTTTGCCAATATAAAAATGAACGACACCGTGGATGTTAATCCTCAAGCCACAGTCAATGAAAAATGATTAAATGGAATGACCTCTATCATCAGGACTTATATTAATCAGTACAGACATACCCCATCCTCTGGTTTATATCGTGCAATTAAGCTCTCGTACCACTCCACAGTTCCTTTCTGTTGAAATAATTACACAAATTAAGGAGAATAAATGAGCTACTCAAAGGTGGCCTGTGGAGTACATAAATGTAGTACAACCATAAACATTGACCTGCTAATCAAGTCATTCATCAACAGCACCTCAAGTAGTGAAAAACTCCACAGGGTTCCTTCAAGTGAACCTACAGTAAGACAAATGTTTTTTTCTTTCATTGATACCTTGACAGCAGTAGTGATGTCCAACTGCAGATCATTTCGAAGGGGACACACAGTCGTAAACGCCAGCATGTTTTGCATGTAGCCGATCCCCCTGGCATTCACAGACAGGAAAAAGCCATTTACATTACAACACTGATTTCTGGTCACATAATTCAAATTCTTAGAATATAAAATATCATATAAGCACAGTAGCTTCAATCTCACTAAATTCTTTGCACTCATATTGTAAGCAGGATCCTGCACTGTCTCTGCAGGAGAGGAGAGAGGCTGATTTTCGTGAGTCACTCTGAGTGTGTTTCTAAGAGATGAAGAAAAGATTTCCCTCGAGGTGTTGATCATTGGGCAGAGCTGGACTTCTTACGGAGGAAGTTTCTATTAAAAAGAAACCTCCTCCACGACAACAAGAACTTCATTAATTAGCTGATTTTAATGGCTGACATTTACGTGGAAGAGAATCCCAAATTAGGTCCATTTCACTGCTCTTCCTTCTGTTGTGTAACGGTAACTCAAAGCTAAGTCGGTCCATCAGACTTGATTCGGAGCAGAGTGTCGACCAGATCACTATCAAATGTAACGCAGATATCTATGGTCTTCCATCTGGTGTTTCTCATGACTTGATGGAGACCGGAACATTTCCTGGTTGATGACATGACATTCACTGTGGATATTCATGTTCCCCAATGAATGAATGCTTGTGATTTCCTCAAGCTGTTTCTTGATGTACACAAGCAACATCAACATCTATATGATCTATATCAGTCATTCCCAAAGATTGGGTCGGGACCCACAGGTGGGTCGCAGGACATTTTATCAGGGTTGCTCTCACATTTTCTTGACTCTATAGCCAATGGATTTGGTCACTGACTTTACTGGTGGAATTGAAGCATAATATCATAGGAAACAATATGTTATGGAAGATAAGGATATGTAAGTAAACATATGTATGTTATGACCACAATATGTCGTATATATATCAAATAACATCATTTTTTAAGGTTGTATACAACAAAATCTGTGGTCAGGAACAAATGTTTAAAATTTTGAAATGAGAAATGAGCAATGATTAAGATATTTGTGTTTAGGGAGCCCAACACTGCTTCCTCCTCAGAGTATGATGACTGACTGATTAAAGTCTCTCTGTGTCTGCTGGGGTGAGGGGTTGAGCGTCTACCTGGTATGGCAGCACAGGGGAGTGTCTGATGTGATGTGATGGCAGTGTGACTTTACCTCAGCATGAGCTCGTAGCGTGTAATGGCAGCAGCGCTGGTGCAGGGGAAAACCTGACGCATGTTCTTCATCAGGCACAGGCAGTGCTCTGTGTACAGCCTGAAGCTGTCTGACAGCTGCCTCTCCTGGACACAGGAAGGGCCCTCAGTTATAGCTTTAAGTACACTGGCTGTGAGACATTTTTGGCTGGACCAAAAACCTTGTTGCATGTCAGTGAAGAGCTGAGCTAATGAGGTGACTGTTTCCAGATGGTGAAAGGTTTGTTTTTTTTTCCTACTGAGAGGCCGATGGCTGAAAACCTACCAGGTCTCCCCTCACAGCGGTGGGGTCCCACTCTGCATCGACGGTCCTCAGGAGGCGCAGCAGCAGGGAGTAGCACACCCTCTGGGTCCGATGGTGGCTGCTGTAGCACTGCCAGCGTCTGGGTTAAAAAACAAAACAAGTGCCTTTACCTGACGCTTACGCTTTCATATTTGATTTGATCAATTGTATACCTCCGTTAATACTCACATAACAGCCTGTTGGAGAGGTGAGAGATCAGTTTGCACAGCATGGTGAGTCAGCACAGTCCATGCTGGAGGACCAACCTGCCCGTTCCAGTTGTAGGGCTCTCTCTAGGATTATATTCAGCAGATTACATGTCAGTTCAGAGGAATCTGTTCGTAATCATCACAAACTTTGCTTGGTTTAAAAAATGGCATACAGTCAACAATTAATGCAAAATATGAACACTACTATAAACTAATTAGCAATGAATAAAGTAAGTTAACGTAACCCTAATTACAGAATGTTAAACTGGTGGTTTTGTCTTTCTGGCTGAGGAGTAAATATAGAGAGCACAGGCTATGCACCGTGGGGGTTTGATAAAGTGATTAAAACTGAAATCTCAAAAATATGACTATGTTGAGAAAATGTAGATGTCCGATGTCATGTCTGGTTTTCATCATGTGATAAAACGATGGTGTGTGTGTGTGTGTGCTTTATAACTAGCGTGCACTAAGGCCTTTCATAATAGTGTTCACTGGGGGCCAAGCGTTACGCCACTGCTTTAAGGTTGTTTGTTATTTAAAGGTTGCTTTGAATGAATATCTGCATTTAACTCACCTTAACATGACCGTGCTCATACTCCACAATCTGACTCAGCAGTTTCTTGTGAATGGAGACATTTGAGTCGGTCTTAGACAAAGCTGTGTCCCTCTGAAAGTTAAAGTTAAAAGTTGGTATTCTTACACATGCAAGAAGAGGAGTATGCAGTAATCTGAATACACAGACCTGGCTGGTGAAGAGCTTCAGTATCAGGTGACATTCTCCTTGAACTTTAGATGTACTTGATCGAGGCTCCAGCTTAAACCAGGTGTCATAGCCGACAATTGGGAACTCCTGCATGAAGGAATCAGCCAGATTAACATTACAGACACAGGGAGAATTCTTCACATTGTGTCTTTCGGGGGGAATATATCTGTGGTTGTGTTTGATTCGTCACAGTAGCTCGACGCCCCTGAGTAGTGAGTATTTGATTGGACTTTGAACGCTCACACTCAAAGGGATGTTGATGCATCCGAGGAAGTCGTCGGCGTTGTCCTCGGAGCCTGACGATGCAGATCCATTGGAGCGCACTGACTTTGCTATCTGCTTAAAATACCTGGCAAGACAAACGCAGGGAAAAGGGAATCTTGTTTGTCACAGGTTGAATTCATGTTTAAATGTAATGTGAGAGCTATAACCCAATATTTTTTATTATTTTAAGGGCATTTATTTAATGCTTTTATGAATTGTGACTTACATTAGAGCATCATCAGAATGAGTTTCATTTCCTAATGAAAGTTTGCTTTTACTCCAACTTTTTGTTCAAATTTTATTTTCATTTTACACCAGAGGTCTATGATCCTTTTGTCCCTTGGTTCTGAATGACATTCTCAGGTTTTCATTAAACATGTCTGCTATTTATTAGTCTCTCCATGGCTACGGCTGAACTCTGTGTTCTCTGTGTGCACAGCTTCAGCACAGGGCGTTCTGTATTTCAGTCATTCTTTGAGGTTAAAAGGACAAATACCAAATGATCTCCTAAAATGAACAAACTAGTTTGTGTTGTTATTTTTAACAAATGTAGATAACATTGGCTTCTTTATTCATGAACTCCAACTTTTGGCTTAAATTAAATTGAAATGACACTTTGATTGACAGGTTGAATGAGTCATCTATTCACTGCCACAATGCCAACTGGTTGAATAAATGAATTACCAACTTATATAATTGTGCACAAAGTCGCAATTTATGATTCAGTTGCACATTAGCTGTTGAAGAAAAAAGACTAACAACATTGCTAAAGGAATATGCAGCATTTCAAACTAAAATATACATCTAAGACAGTTGCATCATCACATTTTGTTACATTAATGTTAATTCAGGATTACACAACAGAGTTTCTTCTACCTGCCCATTCCTCGAAGTCCACTGACTTCATTGAGCTTTTTGCAGGCCTCTGCAACAGACACGTCATCGTCATGATCCCTGAAGAAAATGAATTCAGAGGTTATTACAACCTCTCATCTCCTGCAGGAACAAGCCTCACTATCATTGCTCAACAATGAACAGAACAAGAAGATCTGCTATCTAGCATTCAAGAAAAGAATTTGCAGTTAAGAGTGAACTCTTCACAAAGCTTTGACTGGGGGTAAGAAAAGTTTCTTTATCAGCTAAATAACGACTCTTCAACCAATCTGTTATGCAACGGCTCACAGGTTTCCAGTTTGTTACGAATCCAAAAGGTACAATTTTACAGCTGAGGCCAAAAAGCAACTTCGCTTTCATGCTCAACCAAGTACAATCCCTTTTTCTCCATCAGACCTAAAAGACCATTGGTTTGAAAAATTGATTGGCAATTGAAAATCTGTGATTGCAAAAAAATGTTTTGGGGGGAAAAGTTATTGATTTCAAATGTGTTTTCTAAGTGATTGGAAAATAAATTAGAAAAAAAATACTAATCTGTTTGCAAATTGAGCCTAATATAATGAAATCAAAAATCTTTTTTTTGTCCCTCGGGCATTTTGACATTCAAATATATTCAAGGAGTTGCTGCGTACTAATCTTACCATATGTCAAGATGTAAGAGGTCATTATGGACATCATCTATTTCACTGTGAAAAAAAACAACAACCAAGAAACATTATTAATTGAATAATCATCTCCATGAGTAAATACCAACAAGAAACCCATCAATCCTTTAGTGCAGAGCTGATGACACTGTGCTGCACTGGTCACATATCTAACAGATTTCAGTGTGAAACAAATGAAACTGTGAATCCTGCATGTCACACATATCACAATGTCCAGCACTCTGCTTAAGGTCTGCTGTACTCACAACACAAAGTGCTCGTCCCACACTGGGTTGAGAGTCTCTGGTTTGACCTCGGTCACCTGGATGCACCTGGCAGGTAACACTTCCTTGGTGCTGGAGCGTTTCTCCAGCTTGTCCTTTCTCTTCCTGAAGCTGAACTTTCTCTCCTTCTTCTCCTCCGTCTCCCGCGGACTCTGGCCCAGCAGGATTCCCAGCATGCAGTAGGGGTCGCTGTACCCTGGCAGGCCGCGGAGTGATGCATAGAAAAGGTTATATCGCACACATGAAAACTGTTTATAGCCATCCCTCTGCTGATGCTGTTACAGCAGCAGCAGGAGGAGGGAATCCTTTGGGCTCATTTGCGATTACAATCAGTGTTGTGTTTTGGTAAAGTGCTCGTCAATGTGAAGATTGTGACTGGGTGACAACAAGCTTGTTTGGGATGAATTTCACCTTGCATGGAAAGTGGTCTCAGGTAGTTGGCTGTGGTCGAGGGAAGTGACAAAAACCTGCAGCCATTTTTGACAAACATGAACATTACAGGAGGTCGAACACTGAAAAGATCTGCTATTATTAATCTTTTACATATCTAATCACGTACCGGTTATTATGATATCATGAAGTGGTTGATGTGATTTGTTATTTCATAAATGTCATGTGAGTAGCAAGTCGGCCCCGACCTTATTCCCACCTCATAATAAAGAAATAATATTCAAATACCAACACCCTCACATTGTGCAGTCGTCATATAATTACATGCATACTGGGCATTCATGGAGAGATGCAAAGAGCAAGGTATGCAAGACATTCACATCAATGATATGTTGTCAGACCTCAACATGGCTCAACATTCGTCTATGTAGATTTTCATGAACCACACATCAATTAACACCACAAAAAGTCACAAGCAGGTTGGAGAGATTTTACCCATCTTGCATTGTATCATCACAGTCGTGTCTTGATGGTCACCCACAATTGGGGAAACTCTGGCAAGATGGTTATGGTTAGGATACGCGTTGTTCCCATACCGATACCAGTATCAGAAAAGTCTCCGATACAGCTTAAAATGCTGGATCGGATATCGGTGAACATGGGCGTCTATGCACCGATCTGATATCGTGTAATCATATCGTTTATCTGCTCATTCACGATACACAGAAACAGCAACAGCATGCGTCACTAGCTACCTGATCTGTACAGTCCAAGTTGTACTGCATACGTGCAAACTTACTTGTGCTACACATTTGTGGTTCAACACTCTCGTGAACCCTATTTTTTTCCTGATAATGCGACATTGTGAACAAAAAAATCGGTGTTAAAATTGTCAGGAGTAGAGTTAGTTAACGTTAGCTGTTAGCAGCCCGTGGCCAGCATTAGCTAAACAGAGCTAACAGCTAACGTTAACGGAGGTTGCTTTGAGGTACATTATGATGCGTTACATCTCTATTCAGAAAAAAGTGTGTTATTAGAAAGGTAATTTATAACATTATTATGTGTTCAGATATAGTCTTGTAAAATTTAGTATAGTGTACTTGAATAAATACAGTTGTTTGAAGGAGCATTACACAATTAATTATTGTTAAGAACAGTTTGGGGATGCTGGTGAAAAAAGTATATATAAAATATGAGAGGTATCAGAATCTGTATCAGGAAGGAAAAAATTGTATCGGAACATCTCTAGTTAGAATATGTTGTCGGGCAACTCTTGCAAGAGTTTAAACAAATTGTGGGTTACCATCTTGAGATGTCTCACCATTTGCGTCCTTGGCCATCAGACTCTTTGCTTTCATGACGGAAACTCTCAAGGAAAAACTGGCTCGCTGTGAAAAAGAGCAATTTACTTTATATTCAGCAGGAAACTGTAAATGCAACAAATCAATGTCATGCATTGAGCACATTATAATAGATCAGCATTCATTGTAGAGAACAATGTGAAAAAAACAATTACTGAGTGGTTCATCAGATATCTTATATATTGGCTTTATTACTCACAAGGGAGAAAAACTCAATGTTCTAGAATTCCAGTGAATATTTAAATGGGAAAATATTCCACTCTGGCCACAACAACAGTCTATCATGAGGGCTCACAGTTCTTAACAGAGTCCCTGCAGTCAAGTAAGAGACACACACTCATACAGAGTGAGGCTTTCAGGTGTTACAGGTCTTACATCTCACAACTCTCCAAGGGCATCAGTGCACTCCAACTGTTCCTCTCCAATGCTTTCACTTTATTACTAATGCACCGTGCAAACTAAGAGCATGAGAAAATACCAGGAAATGCACTAAAACACCACTTGTGGCTGCACAACTGGGGATTTAGTGACGCCTCTAAATCTGCACTTTGTGACCACTGAGGAGTTTTATTAACTTAAGTTGGTAATGTTTTAGCAAATTTGCTAAATGTTTAAGTATTTTCATTTTATTTTCTGGGCACCAATTGGTTTCCATTTAATTCTGTATTATACAATATGACAAAAATGTTACAGCTTGTCCTTTGTCTTTGAAATATTGATGAGTCATGATATCTCCCCTCTGTTACATTTGTGTGAAGTCTTCTGGACACGAAAAAGGATCTATTTGACATTGCAAGTACTTAAACTGGCAAACAAAAACGTCAACATTTAATAATTTGTTAAATATAGCCTACAGTGTAAAACAAATATACCAGCATAGACTGGAAATATACACACTAGTGTACATTTTTCAACTTGCATATAAAAAACTGATGTCAGCTTCATGTGCAACTGTATAGAGGACAACTTGAATGGACAGCGACTCGTGAATCTCACCTTAGATTCCTGAACATTCTGGAGAATGATGTCATGCTCCTCCTCGCCCATATCAAACACCTTGAGTGGTGAGAAGGTAAAGAAAAAAGCTTTTATACGCAACAGAAACGTGAATGAACATTCTAGAAACACTCAGTGTTTTGTTACAATTCAAAATGCGCTACTATCCACTGCAACACCAGTCCTTTATAAAACCGCACCCGACAGCGAGGAATACAACACAACCACCCACTCCAGAGCACGATTTCATGTGAATGGATTTAATATCACAGCTGTATATCAGCACACAGTGTGACTGGACTTTGATGTTTAATCAGGTTAGAGCCAACAGCATCTGCTCAGATTCTTACAGCTTGCCCACAACAAATAACACCATCATTCAGGCTAGCAGCGGTGTTACTAACAGAGATGTAATGGAGCTCGAAACATAGATCCTGCTTTTTAGAGGGACAGAGGGAGGATGGTAGGGAGGTAGGTAGGTATGTACTGTAGGTAGAGAGGTAGGATGGGAGGGAGGGACGTAGATACCTTTAGCAGGTAAGCAAACAGGTCTTCGTCACTTCTCACATGTTCAGGTGAAGGCACTCCCACCCGGTTGACCACCGTGTAAACAGCTTCCTCATAAAGCAGGTCCAGCTAAATGAAAACACACTCCACTTAATGACAATCCCTCAAAAATGAATAAATAAAAGCTTATGTTCCTTCCTCATCATGTTTTCTGCTTTGAAGCACATTAAAAGCAAGGAGGTGTCTGTTATTGTGACTTTGAAAATTTAAAAACTGCTGAAATACAATTAAAAACAGACGCACCTCTGTCCTCCGGACTCTGTCGGGGATAAAGGCCTGATCCACATGCTCTTGCGGCGGCGGCACTGTGCAGGCTCCTCTTTCGCACTGTGAGGGGTCAGAAACAGTTCAGCCAAAACAAAAGGCTGTACAGCAGTGGTTCCACATTGGGCCTCAAATACTTATTTGAATGAAGGTTTAGAGGTGAAATCCTTCTTTGATTCGACTGCTAACAACTCATAGGCATCTGAAACGTGACAAAGAGTCGCAACATGATTTTTTTGGAGGGGTCACATGCCAAAAAGGAAACCACTGGTTTCCAGCTTTTGCAATGTATTTTATAAGCTTATCAAATGTTTAAGTAAAATATCAATCTGACAAGTAACTGGTAACTATAGCTGTTAAATAAATGCAGTGGAGCCAAATGTTCAGTATTTTCCTGAAATGTAGAGGATCTTTCTACAACTATTGCATTAATAGCCACTTCATTCTAACCAACTATGATATGCAGTGTGAATGTTCCTTATGTTTCGATGATGACTCCCATTTTTACTCTCTTGTCTTACAGCAATTTGGAAATGAATATTCAATTTCTCTCAGCAAAGATGTTAATAGAGCATCATTGCCTTATTAGCATTGGCAGCAGGAGGAGCTGAACATAACCATCGACAGCAGCTTGTCACAGCTGAGCTTCCAGTCTTCCAAGCACCCAACTCGACCCGGCCCTTCTGTCTGTAGGCGTCACACTGGCCTGAACAAACACTCGCAATGCACGGATGTGTATCGAGGGTGCAACAGACGGAAAAGGGGAAGTTGGGTGAGGGTTACCTCAGCCTGGGCAGTCCGCAGCATGTTCTCCTGCTTCTGAAGGATGGCATTCACACGCTCAAAAAACTCCACGCTCTCCTCGGAAATCCTGCCAAGAAGAGTAAACAGATTGACAAATCATCCCTAAAAATAGAGATGAAATACTTGGGAAATATGTTAATTTATGAAAAAAAAAAAGTTAGGCGACATGCGTGTAACAGTTAATCTCATCAGACGAATATAATATTTCTGGATCCAAATTAAAAACAAAGTGGGATTCAGTGACATCACACTGCATCCTGTTTACAGACACTTCAGAGAAGCGTCTGTCAATAAAGATGATCTGTTTCCTTGTTATGTCGAACTACAGCACTCCATCGCCTGCAGTTCAGCTCCTTATTAGCCATCAAACACCTTCTTATCTCATGCACTAAAAAGCAAAAGCAGGTCTGGACCAAAGCTCTCAGCAATCCAACATGTCTGCACTGTGTGAATCATGTTAATCTGCTATATGTATGATGAGCAGGGCTGTGTGCAAAATGCAAATGTTCCCCGTTCCCTCCAGGTGTGAGTGAATCCCCAGACTCCCGCTGGCCCAAGTTGTCATGGTGATACATGCACATTCAGGGAGGGAGTAGCCCCCCCCTCCCTCACCACCACCATCTTCACCCCAACATCTCACCCTTCCCAAACCTCACACCGGGCGTCTTCCTCCCGGGCCTGCATGGAGATCACTTGTGGAGCTGTAGCAGAACCGTCGGGATCAGCCATGCGGTCTGCCTGTAACTCCTCACCCCCACAGCTCCCACACCTGCCAGCTTCTCTCTCTCTGTCCTCTTCCTCGTCTCTCAGCCAACCCCATCACATTACACGGAGGAGACGTCCACAGAGGAGCTGTCACGCTCCTTTATTAGCGTCATCACATCACAGCAGGCTAGTGGCAGCCCATCCCAGCACCCACTGACTCTCGCCATGGTGGGGGAGAGGATGGCAAACCCCTGATGTATTGATGAGAGCTAATGGCAGTCATGCTGAGAGAGTCGGTCAGGTTTCCACTGTCGTCAAACCCAGTAAAACTTGAAAGGTGGATGTATTCAGTTTAAACGGCTTAATCTTTCATCAAATGCTATAAATACAGTCAATTCTTCAAAGTGTCCACAGTGTTTAATCAAGTCAAGCTTTGCAGTAGGGCTGCAGCTGCCGATGACTTTCATTAACCTTTAATCTGACAATCATTTTCTTGACTGCTCGATTCATTTGGTCCATATTGTCAGAAAACTTTAGACAGTGCCCATCATAACTTTGCAGAGCCCCAGTTGATATCATTCAGATTGCTTGCTTTATCCGACCAACAGTCCACGAACAGTGAAATATCATTCAAAACTAAGAAAATCCGCAAATAATCATATTTTAGAAGCTTGAATTGACTTTAGGGTATTTTAATTAAAATAAATTCTTTAATAATCAACATATTTGCTTTTTAGTTTCTGTCGATTAACTAACCTGTTTCATCTACTCCAGTTCAACCTTTTTATTTATTAGCATTACCACAATATTGCAACAAAGACAGGTCTTTCATTTTCAGCCCCACTGGTGTGTTTGTTGATTTTGCCAAATACTGATCAAAAACTGAGTTGCTATTCTGATCCGAAAGCCCCTCAGTCAGTGTTTGAAAGCTTGAAGCCACAAACCGAGTCTCCAATAATGCCTCCGCCAAAAAAAAGCCTGTTCGGCTGACAAGATATGGGAGGTTTTGTTTTTTGGAGCTTACAGTTTTCATTTGCACATATAGCACAAATAAGCCGAATTTGATTGTGATACTTGTGTTATGAGACACTCAATTCTCTCCACATCCATCTCCAATCATCCAGGGCATCCTCTTATCCACAAATCTGTCCCATCTTCTGCAGTCAGCTTGAGGATTTGTCCAGACAGACTGGGATCTTTTGTTTCCAGCTTTGGGGCGACGTGTTCATGAGCCGATATAATACCCAAATGATGCAAATCCAGTCAATCCTGATTTGATACATCAACAAAAAAATAATCATTCAACCTTTGTGTTTCTCTCTCTCTCACTGTGTTTCTATCACTCTCTCACTCTGTTTCTCTCTCTCTCTCTCTCTCTGTGTTTCTCTCTCTCTCTGTGTTTCTCTCTCACTCTGTGTTTCTCTCTCACTCTCTCATACTCTCTCACTCACTGTGTTTCTCTTTCACTCTTTCAGTCTGTGTTTCTCTCTCACTCTCTCATACTCTCTCACTCACTGTGTTTCTCTTTCACTCTTTCACTCTTTCACTCTGTGTGTCTGTGTGTCTGTGTGTCTGTGTGTCTGTGTGTCTGTGT